CCCCCACTTCTATAAGTGGTGGGTAGTTCACTCTCATCAGGGATATTAAAATATCGGTGAATAGTTAGTTTATTCGTGTTTTTTTGAACCATTATGTTAATAATTAATTTTTTTCTTTCAAAATTTTAATTTCTTCCACAAAATCTTCGCGGCGGCGGGGTGTTTCTAATATTTTGGGTATTCCATTTAATTTAGGATGTCAAACTATTTTTTTTAAGGCTTTTAAACCAATATTGCCATAACCGATATTTTCGTGGCGGTCAACTTTGGCTCCTAATTCCTGAGCACTGTCGTTAATATGGATAACTCACAATTTTTCCAAACCAATTTTCTGGTCGAACTCCGTAATTACTGCCTCCAGATTACCCTTAATGTCATAACCAGCCGTATACAAATGACAGGTATCTCAACAAATACCCACCCGTTCTTTTTGTTCGACTCGGTCAATAATATATTTCAATTGTTCGAAATTTACTCCGACTTCGCTGCCCCGACCGCACATGGTTTCTAAAACGATACGAACTTGGGAACTTGATTGGAGAACCAAATTGATTCCTTTGGCTACCTGGGATAGAGCTTCATTAATGGGAGCATCGACCGCACTGCCGGGGTGAAGAATAAGAGTTTTTAAACCAATTGTTTCCATGCGAGCAACTTCTTTTTTTAGAAATTCCGTCGATCAGTGAAAAATTTCTGCACGCGCAGGATTAGCTAGATTTACCACATATGGTCCATGCACTATCACATTATCAATATCAATGTTATTTTCTGCTAGAATTTGACGAAACTCCGGTATTTTTAACTCAGCTAGGGGCCGACGACGAGTGTTTTGAGGCGCTCCTAAATAAATCATTACGGCATTAGAACCATAACTTACTGACTCCTTGACTGCTCCTAGCAAGTAATTAGGAGCTTTGAAGGGGCAGTGGCGTCCAATTATCAATTTGTAATTATCATTATTTTTACTTGTGGTCATATATTAATATGATGTCTAACGTTTTTTTTTTTTTTTT